CACATCCTCCATAGCATATGCTAAATTGATATCAACATCAGAACAGCCTAAAGGTATAGCCCGAGTGTCCCGATATGTTTTAATTATCATTTTACTCATTGCAAAAGAAATTAACAAAGCGACATAATAATAACACTACAGAAAATTAGGCCCAAGGAAGCAAGCCTCATTGAAGACAGCTAAAAGTAGCAAATTATTCACGTCCCCTCGCTAATCTTTTGTGTGGATGGGGTGGAGCCTATGGTAGGCACGGGTAGCTCCATTCCAATTATTCTATCGGCCAGAAGAAAATAATTGTTATATTCCACTAAACTCAACGTATGAAGCACTAACAGAATTCCGGTTTTCATTTGGGCATATAGGCCTAAGTGCATTTTTTTTTTCAGATAATAGGGCGATTTCGAAAGCTTTCGTAAACGATAACGAATACGCCATTTTTGTTATCGTCATTCTTGCCTATAACATTCTTTACAATACATCGAGCTGAATATGATCGCCGATTCATATAAGAGGCAGGGATGGCCTACGTTCTGACAGATATGTAATGTAATGAAAGGGGATGGTTTGACTAATAATGATACCAGTATTCGGTATGGTTTTCGTAAGCTTAAGAAATCCCCCTATTGCAAAACGAGAATCGCGCATACCTCAATACGCGATTTACGCGTACACGTTTTAGTTGTTTTGTCATGCAACGTATACATCCAGATTCTATCTAAATTCACATTTTACTTGTAATCAAATCTAGCTAAGGCAACCAATAGGCATCTGTTTTCCTGTAATTAGTTACATTTCACTGTATGCTCAGTGAAAGCGCCAGCCGTGAAATTGGGAACCTTAATTAAGGAGGCGACATTACAAGTACAGTAGCTGGAAACGATATGTCAACGTTAGCACTAATTATCAAACATTTATATGAAACGCCACTTCTCAATTAATAACCACTGTATCACCAGTACTACAAATATATCTGTATCTGCTAGACAGCTAAAAGGTATCCGTTTACTTTGGCTAATTATAGCTTAACGTAGTGTATTCAATAATAATGTTATGTGTAAAAAAATAAAATCCTGTTCGGCTTCATTTACTCAGATAAAGGTTTTTTTCCAACTTCCTCAGCAATGAAATAGGCAAATTATTGAAACTGAAATTTTTTGATTATTGAACCAAATATTTTCCGAGGACGTTAAAGTAAATCTCTATCCGAATATAAGCCGAAATTGATTTTGATTGTTTACATTGGCCTAACAACAGCAAGACATTTGGTGTTTTTCCTAAGTTTATTCAATAATGAATATTAATACTTTATTAATTTAACAAGAGAATATTCAATCTCCCTTTCGAACATGTATAATTACCGTATTACTTTAATATATTTATTGATCATGTTGTTTTCTAATTTTTGTTCGATAGAATCGAAATATGTATCTCGACGACTTCTCTCTAGTACAACAGAAAACTCTACTACCAGCAGCGGGCTTGTCTGGGAGCAATGTGACTTCGAAACCGAAAACTTTCCATATTTATTTGTAATTATGTATGCGGTTTTAATCTTAATATTATTTATCGGTAAGACCTGTTTAAAACTGCTTATTAAACTTGATTGCTTTAGAGTAATTTCCTAAATGAGGTAACCACTGAGCCTTGCCAATTTTTGTGTCACCCATTTTTTCAAGCTGCTCTCATTTGAAATACAAGTTACTTTGTGGCAGTGAGAAATTGTTTAAAGCTCAACAACGCGACACCGTCTGCTGATTGTCATTAAAAATGATCCGTTGTGCGCGCGTAGTGGCGTTGCGTTCTCCATAGAATCGCGTCGAGCGACGACCGGACGTCGGTCACAGTGTGTGCCCGCATAAGCCATTGATCCATTGTACAGCGTGGCGCATTTGCACTACAAATACATACACCATTCAAAAAGGGAAGGTTGTCTCCTGGTGGGGAAGGGCTGTGCACCTCGACTGCGTATCTGTTGTAATGTGAAGTATGAAAACTATTGAAATGTTACATGTTTGATAATTACATTAATATAAACAGAGGTTTATTGAATATTATATCGAAAATAAGCTATTTTATCTGTTTATTGTAAAGTCTACATTGATTCTTCTCTGTAACGTTAT